CTCTGCTTTCTGTCACTTCCCTGACAGTTCCTGAAACGCAGACCAGGAGAAATGAGTTTCTCTGTCCTTTTTTTTTTTTTTTTTTTTTTTTTTTTTTTTTAATTAAATATTTATTAAATTTTTCATGTTAATACAAAAACCCAAAAAGGGAAAAAATTCTCAAACAAATAAACATTTATAACATTTCTATCTTTCCCTTACTAAAAGCTCTTTTCTTTCCCCTCCCACTACCCCCCCTTCCCACCCCTCATCCCCCCTCCTCCCCCTCTGCAGACTCTAGCCCATTCTACTCCTTGAGGCTTATTAATTTTTTGCTAACATCCTAGTTCATATTTTCCTATATTTCTCTTTCAATCCTGCTCTTTCCCATTTTTTTCCCATCTCCTGAAATAAACTCTCATCTTATCTTCCTGTATATGGTATGATCTTTCCATTCTACCTATCTGGTTTACTCTATTAATCCAGTCTTCCTCCTTCGGTACCTCAGCCTTCCGCCAAAACTTAGGTATCAACCCTTTCGCCGCATTCAAGAAATACCAAATACCTGAGTCTTTATATTTATTTACTGATGTCTCCACATTGTGTAGGAGGCACGTCGTTGGGTCTAAGCCTATGTCAATTTCAGTTATTTCTTTAATCAATTTGACTATTATCTTCCAAAAAGCCTGGATTTTCGGACATTCCCACCATATGTGAAACACCGTGCCCATCTCTCCACATCCTCTCCAACACTTATTTGAATTCTCCCCATTCATCTTGTGCTCTACACTTGGTGTAATGTGCCATCGTGTCACGCACTTATAATTAACCTCAACCTCTCTCATACTCACATTATCGTGTATCAATCTAAACATCTTTCTCTGTCTATCTTCATCAAACCCAACTCCCATATCCCTTTCCCATTTTGTGATAAAAATTAACTTTGTGTTTGTGTCTAATTCTGTGAGTATTCTATACACTTTTGAAATACCGTGCTTCCCATCCCTTCGTGTCTCTAACAACCTTTCCAACATATTCCACTCCTGTTTTACTCTCAGGGGTTTCGGTAGAATTCCAATAAAACATTTCAATTGATGATATTTCCACTCATCTATTCTAATAAAAATATCTCCCTTATTCTCTATTAAATCTTTAAGTGGTCTCAATTCCCCCTCCACCAGAACATCTCTCAGTTGGGTATCCTCCTTTCTAAACCATCTCCCTGATATTTATTTTTTTCCCGGAGGAAAGTAATCAGTATTTGTGAGAGGCATTAAAATAGAATTAAATTCCCATTTCATGTTTTTGTGTAAATTGTCCCATATCCTAAGAACATTTAGAGTGTAGATACTTGTGCTTTCTTTGATTCCCCTAAACTGTGGTGGAACCCATATCATCTGGTTCAATCTAACGCCACTAAGATCGTTTTCAATTGTTACCCAACTTTTCCCCTTATGGTTAAATGTCCAGTCATATATTCTTGCTAAAACCACTGCTTTATAGTATCTCTTGACATCTGGTAGACGCAATCCCCCTTTCTCTTTAGTCCTGCTCAATGTTTCATATGCTATTCTGGGTTTTTTATTCTTCCATATGTATCTTGTTAACATTTTTTTTCATTATCTTAAAGAAGGCTTCTGGGATTTTAATTGGTACCATTTGAAATCTATACAGTATTTTAGGCATAATTACCATTTTGACTAAGTTTATACGTCCTATCCAGGATGGATTTCCACCTTCCAGTCTTTTTAAATCTTCCCTGATCTCATTTATCAAAGAGATATAGTTTAATCTATACAGATGCTTAGATGAGGCAGTGAGTTTTATTCCTAGGTATTTTATCTCTTTTTCTCTCCATATAAAGGGGAATTCTTTTTGTAGTTTTTCCTTTTCGTTCTTTGATATATTAATATTCAGGATCTCTGTTTTCGTTGGATTAATTTTTAAATTTGATAGTTCACCGTACTCCTTCAGAATCTTCATTATATTTGGGAGAGTTATTCGGGGGTTCCCCACATAGAACAATAAGTCGTCCGCAAAGGCCGCTACTCTGTGTTCTATGGATTCTATCTGAATTCCCTTTACCGAACCACTATTTCTTATTATTGACAACAAAGGTTCGAGTGACAATACATATAGCAGGGGGGATAGTGGGCAGCCTTGTCTTGTACCATTAGACATTCCAATGGGTTCTGATCTCTCCCCATTTACCGTGATGATTGCAGTAGGCTCCCTATATAATTTACTTATCCACTCTCGCATTCTATCGCCTATCCCCAGTACTTTTAAGTTGTCCATCATAAAGCCCCAGTCCACTCTATCAAATGCCTTCTCTGCATCAATCGACAAGAGCACCACCGGGGCTTTCCCTTTTCTACTTTTCTGAATAAGCATGAGGGTTCTCAAGCCGTTATCTCTACCTTCTCTCCCCCGGTACAAAGCCCACCTGGTCTCCATGTATCCATTCAGGCATCAAGTCCCTCAACCTGTTTGCTATCACCTTTGCATACAGTTTAGTGTCAGTGTTCAATAATGAAATAGGTCTATAGCTGGAGCACTGAGATGGATCTTTTTCCCTCCTCATGAATAAGCACTACATGGGCCTGTAGGGCTGCGCCCGCGAGGTGTGCCGCCGCCCTACCTTCACCGCTGATCTTAGCCGCGGGTATCAGTTGCCGGGTCACAGTCACAGCCGGTTGTTATCAGCTGTGTCCCGGCGATTTGCGGCAATCAGTGACAGAGAGCAGGGCTGCAGTAGCTCTGCTTTCTGTCACTTCCCTGACAGTTCCTGAAACGCAGACCAGGAGAAATGAGTTTTCTCTGTCCTGATCTGCATGTCTCCCTGCAGTACACACCCCACCCCCCCCAGTAAAATACTCCCCTCACACAGTTAACCCTTTCAGTGCAAAAAAAAGTTAATCCCTTCCTCCCCAGTGCCATTAGTATAGTGTCAGTGTTTTCTTTTTGCACTGATCACTGTATTGGTGTCACTGGGGATGTCAGTGACCCCAAGTCAGTTCCCCCCCAGTGTCAGAATGTCCGCCGCAGTCCCGCAGTTCTGCCATAAGTCGCTGATCGCCGCCATAAGTTGCTGATCGCCGCCATTATTAGTATAAAAAAAAAAATAAAAAATCCCAGTATCTTTACCGTCGTTTGTAAACGCTATAACTTTAACGTAAACCAATTAATTTACACGTATTGGGTTTTTTTTTAGCAAAGACATGTCGCAGAATGCATTTTGGCCGAAATTTATGACGAAATTAGATTTTTACATTTTTTTTTACTGGACATGTTTTATAGCAAAAAGTACAAAATATTGTTTTTTTTCTCAAAATTGTCAGCCTTTTTTTTATAGCGCAAAAAAAAAAAAACCGCACAGGTGATAAAATACCACCAAAAGAAAGCTCTATTTGTGTGAAAAAAAGGACATAAATTTCATTTATGTACCGTATTGCATGACCCGCGCAATTGTCCGTTAAACTAGTGCAGCGCGTATAGCAAAAAAATTGCATAAATTGCAGTATCTAAACCCTAGTTTGTAGACGCTATAACGTTCACAAAAGCAATCAATATACACTTATTGGGATTTTTTTTTACGAAAAACATGTAGCAAAATACATTTTGGCCTAAATTTATAACTAATTTTGAGTTTACTATATCTTTTTTATAGCTGAAAGTAAAAAATATCGTTTTTCTTCAAAATTTGGTCTTTTTTTGTTTATTGCGTGAAAAATAAAAAGCGCACAGGTGATCAAATACCACCGAAAGAAAGCTCTATTTGTGTGAAAAAAAGGACGTAAATTTTGTTTGGGTGCAGCGTTGCATGACCGCGCAATTATCAGTTGAATTAGTGCAGCGCTGAGTAGCAAAAAGAGGCCTGGTCATTAAGGGGGGTAAATCCTCAGGAGGGCAAGTGGTTAAATTGTTTTTTTATATATTTTATAACTAGTATTCACTTTTAGAATGATCGAATCAGAGTGCAGCAACGTCCTGTATCCATATAGGTTTTTATATTCTATCATATACATTATGTTCGAGTTTACATGATTTGTTATCCAATGAATGTACATCATTCTGCACATATTTCCAGTCACCTTTTATTATTATGTTTAATTATGGGCCCTAATGACATGTTTATATCACCCATACCATTCCAACCTTTTTTGTGCCTATAAATGTCCGTGCCAGACTAATATTATGTAAAACAATAAAATTCTATAATAATCTTATAATTTTTTATAGGTATACATGCTCACGTTTCTGCATTTAACCATTATACTTATACATTTTTTTATTATTTTTACTATTATCTTTTATTTTACATTTGTTTTTAATGGTCTATTCATTAGTATTAGCCATTATGGCTTTAATTATATTGTACGACCCACTTGTGAGGCATTTTCTAATTACATCCCTTTTTGAAACCTAGTCTTTTTGTCCTGGTTCGGTCCAATGTTTTAGGGGTCCTCTACACCACCTGCAGTTTTTCCCCCTTAGTCCACCAGTAGGGGTGTATGTGGGCTTCTTGTGGGTCGCAGGGTCGGTCTGGCTTGCAGTGATGCCATCTGGACAAATGCAGTGTGCTCCTCCTTCCTGCAGGAGTCCCTATTTCCAGTCACCTGACAGTGCGGTCAACTGACCTCCTCTTTTTTGGTGGAGTGTGCGTCATGTCCACTCTTCTGGGTAGGAGATGCGGGCACACGTTTTGATGGATCGCATATGCTGGCATGCATTTCAGCAGATCACACATGTTTGTGTGGGATACATGGCAGCCACACTTACGGCTTTGAGCAGCTGGCGTGCGCATCAGCAGGTCAACTATATATGTCCATCAGAGGCCAAATAGATCCAATATGGTAAGATCCATCAATATAAGAGATATGAGTGAGTACACGCCAAAATATTTTTTTTAACTTTGATCCCCTCATATACATCTATATGTGCAACATTCATCACTGCTTGTAAACTTAATATCCACAATTTTTTGTGAGCAATTTTCTGTGAGCATTTCTTGCCTGCACAGATGAATCGTGGGACATGTGTTCACACGGTATAATATAATATACCATATTTTTCGCTCAATAAGACGCACCTGACCATAAGACGCGACTAGGTTTTAGAGGAGAAAAACAAGAAAAAAAATATTCTGAACCAATGGACTGCAGACATAGTACAGGCGATGACCAGAGACTGCAGATACAATACAGGAGATGACCAGAGACTGCAGACAGTACAAGAGATGACCAAACACTGCGGACACAGTGCAGGAGAAGGACCAGAGACTGCGGACATAGTACAGGAGATGACCAGAGACTGCGGACATAGTACAGAAGATGGACCAGAGACTGCGGACATAGTACAGGTGATGACCAGAGACTGCGGACACAGTAAAGGTGATGACCAGAGACTGCGGACACATGATGACCAGAGACTGCGGACAGTACAGGGGATGAACAGAGACTGCGGACAGTACAGGAGATGAACAGAGACTGCAGACAGTACAGGAGATGACCAGAGACTGTGGACAGTACAGATGACCAGACTGCAGACAGTACAGGGGATGACCAGAGACTGCAGACAGTACAGGGCATGACCAGACACTGCGAACCTTTAGGGAGGGAGGGGGAGCGGGTACCTGAATTGGACAGGTACCCACTCCCACTTCCGCGGAGTTCTCCTTCCTATACTGTGGGCACCCGACTTTGACAGCGGGGTGCCCACTGCACTTTTTTAATGACCTGGCGTCCAGAAGACACCGGACCATTCACAAAGCGCAGCGCTGCTCACGCATGCGCAGTGGGCACCCAGCTGTCACAGATGCCGGGCGGGAAGATGCCGGGGCAGGAAGAAGCCGGCGCTGGAAGACTATACAGTGTTGGACCGAGAAACAGGTGAGTTCCTGCTGCAGAGAACAGCTGAGCAGCCGGCCCGGTATTCTGACATGGTGGTGGCGGAAATACCAGACCGGCCGCTTTATATTCCATAAGACGCACTGACATTTTCCCCCCTCTTATGGAGCGAAAAATACAGTAATACAATATGATATAAGTTTGTTATATATTTGTTTTTTATGGATTATTAAGATTTCATAATATTCCTAGCAATGCTTATAGATTGGTTGTATCTAGTTCATTCTATTGTATCTGAAAGGGCAGCACATATGAGATTTGTCCCTGCCCTCGGGCGAGCTAGTGACGGCCCACATGCAGTATCTGGACTGAACACTAGACCATTTAAGAGAGGGTACAGGCATTGCTTGCGCTGGCTCTGAGGAAGAGGCAAGTCCTTGAAACGCGTTAGCCTGTTGGAAGTCCAGGGTTCCTATTGTGAACAGTCATATAATGTGGACTGGACAGTGCTGTTCTTTTATGATGTGCTTTGGATGTATTCGTCATTTGTGAGTATATTGCTTATCGCTTTTTTATTAATAAATGTGTTTTAAGATAATGCACTAGACCAGTGTGCCCTCTGTTGATTTCCTTTTCATTCAGTGTTTTTGGACTTCCCCGGGCCTTTAAGGGCAGCAAAGCATACACTATCCAGGACAGTCGAGATGGAGTTGTAGCCTCTGTTGAGTCCACCGCCAAGTGCAGGAATATTTGTGTTTGCAATTTACCCCTAGCACCCTGGCATGCAGGGATGGGTTGATAGTGCTCTTGATCCTGACCGAGAAATCAGGGGAAGAGGCATATGGAAGAGGAAATGTTATTAGCTCAGTTTTGGATAGGTTGAGTTTTAGGAAGTGGTGCGACATGCAGGCTGATATGTCTGTTAGTAAATCAGAGATACGTGAGGAAAGTGATGGGGTGAGCTGAGGAGTAGAGAGATAGATTTGTGTGTTATCAGCATAGAAATGGTATTGGAAACCATGGGAGGCTATCAGCTGACCCAAGGAAGAAGTGTAGATCGAGAACAGGAGTGGTCCAAGGACAGAACCTTGGGGGACCCCAACAGTAAGAGGAGTAGGAGAGGAGGAAGCTGAGTTGTAAGTGACACTGAAGGTGCAGTGAGATAGGAAAGATTCAAACCAATGGAGAGTACAGGTTTTTTTTGAGGAAGAGGTGGTCAACTGTGTCAAAGGCAGTGGAGAGGTCCAAGAGTAAGAGTATAGAAGAGTGACCATTGGTTTTAGAAGCTAGTAAGTCATTTGTGAGTTTCAGGACAGCAGTTTCTGTGGAGTGTTGTACGTGAAATCCAGAAAGGGATTGAGAAGGTTATTCTAAATGAGGTGGCAGCTCAGTCGGTTGTAGATGTTCAGGGGGGTTTGGAGGCAAAAGGAGTAAGGAGATGGGTCTTAGGTTGCCAAGATTGGTGGGGTCCAATGAGGCCTTTTTATGTATGGGGATGACTATCGCATGTTTTAGAGAGTTAGGGAAGATGCCAGCAGAAAGGAGAGATTGAAAATATGAGTTAAAAGAGTGAAGGATAAAGCCAGAGGGTGACCGTAGTATTTGCGAGTGAACAGGGTCCAGGGGACAGATGGTTAGGTGGGCTTTAGAAAAAAGTTTACCAGCCTCCTCTATAGTAGATGGGTTTAAACAAGATTGTGCACGTGGACAGGGAGTATAGGATGAGGTAGATATCTGTACAGTGGTAATCTCATCACAAATTGTATCAGTCCAGTGATCTCCTGGGCAGTGAGTGAGTTAGAGGGTGGAGATAAAGAAGGATGAAGTAGAGAGGGTGTTAATGACGAGTGATGAAATAGGTCTGTTTGGCAGTGTGGAGACAGGAATTGTATTTTTGAAGGGCAGATTTATATTGGCCGAATTCTTGATGGGTGTTAGTCTTACGCCATAAACTCTCAAGAGCACTCCTGCACACAGGGAGAAGTGCGGTTCTCCATTTTACCCCAAACTTCAGAATTTTGGTATTTCTCTTAAACTCCCAAATCAGTCTCCCTCCTCCGATTTCCCCCGTCCCTCAGGAATGCAAGCAGCGTATGATGCTGGGCCCTGCCTAACAATTCCTCTGCCAAATAAGGTAGGGAAGATACTAGTTTATGTTGTGTAGAAAAAGAAGCAGTTAGTTTTGTGAGGAGTCAGACAAGTGAGGACCGTCTCGATACAACATCTAATCGGACAGAAAGCAAAGAAGAATCTTGCGGCAACAACGAAACCCAATGCGAGACCAGAAATCCCTTTTTTAGCTCATCAGACTTGACACTGCTTAACTCTAGGCATTTATCTGGCAAGTACTTATTTACCTATACTTCTTTCTGTTATCTGTTTTCTGTGCTGTTGTGCTCTGTATATTTATATTATTATTATTATTATACAGTATTTATATAGCGCTAAAAGGTTTGCGCAGCGCTGTACATTATAGTGGGGACAGAACATGAGGACAATACAGTAACAAAACAAAACACGAGGGGGTCAAGGGCCCTGCTCTTTTGAGCTTACAATCTAGGAGTTAAATCTTCTTTCTGTAAATATTCGTACTGCACCCTTTTAACCTTTTGGTAATAAATCTTACTTTCTGAAAGTGTTGAATTGTTTCTATAGCTCATAATTGCAATTTACGAATCCCTGCCTCTAAAAAGAGTGCTACTATGAGTGTTTAACCCTCTGTATACCCGGTCTGTAGAGATAGTGATATACTGTCGATTAACCAATCATCCTAGTGTATTGCTGAGTTTCCTCTTTCTCTGTATAAAAAGGAGGTGGTGGCAGTGTGAAAGGTTAATTGCGTAACCTGACTCAGTAACGAGCGCATTCAGGCTGCCGGTACGAAGTGCATTTCAGGCTGCCGGTACATCGATTGTGGTCCTATTAGCTGGAAATTGTTGTGCAGGGTGCAGCTGGGTGTGGCATTGTTATGCACGTGACAGCGCGGTTTTAGATTGGCTAGTCCTTCGGTCACGAGTTTGGTGGGAAGGGCTGGAGTCTGACGCTGCGCTCGTCACAAGCACAGCTAAATTTTTTGAGACATCTGGTATTGTCTGTTTTCCATGGCTATAGCGGTCAGGGCCTAATTCTGTGTGTAGTAAGGGGGGCCAATGTGTCCACGGTGGATGGCAGTGAACTATTGCAGACAGAAGTGGCCAGGTTGGAGCAGGACAAGGCTGAGATTTTGTCATAGAGACAATGTGTTGCAGAAAAAAAAGAGAAGGGTTAAGATAGCGAAGGTTTCTATGGGTAACTGTTTGGTAGTTGGAAGACAAGAAGGAGAAAGCCAAGGAGACAGTAAAGCTAATAAGGGAGTAATCAGATAGAGGAAAAGGAAAGTTGGAGAGGTTGCAAGGAGTGCATAGGTAGGAGAATACAAGGTCGAGGCAGTTACCATTAGAGTGTGCAGAAGCATGTGCCCATTGTTTTAGGTCAAAAGAAGTGGTTAGGCTCAGAAGTTTACAGGTAGCAGGAGTGTTAAAATTAACAGGGATATTGAAGTCACCAAGAATGATTGTGGGAATTGCAGAAAAGAGAAAGTACAGCAGCCAGGTGGAGAAGTCATCAAGGAAGTTTGATACCGGTCCAAGAGGCCGATAGATTACAGCAATTCTTAAAGAAACTAGAGAGAATTGATGAATACAGTGAACTTCAAATTAGGAGAGGGACAGATAAGGAGGTGAATGAAGGACCTGAAAACTGCTTTGAGGGGATAGGATGATTCTAACTCCACCTCCTTTCCGTCCACTAGGTCTGGGAGAATGAGTCCAGAGGAGACCACTATGTGAGAGGGCAGCAGGAGAGGGAAAGTCAGATTCATGAAGCCAGGTTTCCGTAATTGCAAGTAGGTTAATGGAGGTTTGTGATAAAAAAGGTCATGGACAGAGGTGAGTTTGTTACAGACAGAAGGAATAGTAACCAGATTGTGTGAAATCAAATTAATAATACACGTGAGCTAAAATGTGATATTCCCCTTGTGCAATAAATAATTTAACAAACAAAAATATATATCAAATTATGGTGCATCAACACTTTACACAATACTCATTATCTGTGCAAAAACATACACTATATAAAAACTTATATATATCTACAAATATATATATACGTGCCACGCTCCATAGTATACATATAAACTCATATGTTAGTGATTAATAAATAATAACGTGAAAAAATTGGTGTGCTTCAAACCAGTGCACCATGTGATGCTATTGCAAAATAATACTAGTCCAATACTCATAAATAGTCCTCTTTATGCTTTTGTAACTTTTCAGTGACAAATAAGGTGATTCGTGCCACACTCCCCGTGCTCTATAGATAGGTGTACGCTCACCTCCTTAATTAGCCAGACAAAGTGGCTGAAAACACTTTTTGTCCTATCAGGACAAGGTGGAAATCTTCACACTGTGCTGTGGATTGCCTTATTTCTGCCACCAGAGGTCTCCCTTATTCCTCCTTCCACACTTTAGCCTCAATGGATGGTTAGAAATAATTTGGATGGTATTTCCTCCTCTCAATGAACCATGTAAAAGAGAGCCACAATAGTGCCTTATTCTTTGTGAGGTTCAATATTTTATTTGTAAAGTAAAATCACCACTCACATTTTGTAGTGTTCAACAGAGCTGTATTCAGCTGGTATATGCCCAGATCCTGTGCTTGTGAATGCCGCTCGTCCACCGCGGCGTCGTGACGTCAGAGCCCCTCCCCTACGCGTTACGCCACAGGGTCACGTGGCTTCATCAGGGGGAAAACAATTGGACGTCACTGCGCTCTGCTCTATTTATGTAGGCAGTCGGCACCATTTTCTTGTAGACCGCATGAACGCGGCCATTTTCCTGGGGTCTATATATCCTAATCCACTTCTGATATGTATAGCACATATCATCAGTTCCTTTCAGTCTAATTAACTACACATCTAATACCTTTTCTGACTG